CAGCAGCACATGGTGTGCCTGGGTGGCTTACACAGCAGCACATGTTGTGCCCGGGTGGCTTACACAGCAGCACATAATGTGCCCGGGTGGCTTACACAGCAGCACTTGGTGTGCCTGGGTGGCTTACATAGCAGCACATGGTGTGCCTGGGTGGCTTACATAGCAGCACATGGTGTGCCTGGGTGGCTTACATAGCAGCACATGGTGTGCCTGGGTGGCTTACATAGCAGCACATGGTGTGTCTGGGTGACTTATACAGCAGCACATGGTGTGCCTGGGTGGCTTACATAGCAGCACATGGTGTGCCTGGGTGGCTTACATAGCAGCACATGGTGTGCCTGGGTGGCTTACATAGCAGCACATGGTGTGCCTGGGTGACTTACACAGCAGCACATAATGTGCCTGGGTGGCTTATATAGCAGCAAATGGTGTGCCTGGGTGGCTTACATAGCAGCACATGGTGTGCCTGGGTGACTTATACAGCAGCACATGGTGTGCCTGGGTGGCTTACACAGCAGCACATGGTGTGCCCGGGTGGCTTATATAGCAGCACATGTTGTGCCTGGGTGGCTTACATAGCAGCACATGGTGTGCCTGGATGGCTTACATAGCAGCACATGGTGTGCCCGGGTGGCTTACATAGCAGCACATGGTGTGCCCGGGTGGCTTACACAGCAGCACATGGTGTGCCCGGGTGGCTTACATAGCAGCACATGGTGTGCCCGGGTGGCTTACATAGCAGCACATGGTGTGCCCGGGTGGCTTACATAGCAGCACATGGTGTGCCCGGGTGGCTTACATAGCAGCACATGGTGTGCCCGGGTGGCTTACACAGCAGCACATGGTGTGCCCAGGTGGCTTACACAGCAGCACATGGTGTGCCCAGGTGGCTTACATAGCAGCACATGGTGTGCCTGGGTGGCTTACACAGCAGCACATTGTGTGCCCAGGTGGCTTACACAGCAGCACATGGTGTGCCCAGGTGGCTTACACAGCAGCACATGGTGTGCCCGGGTGGCTTACACAGCAGCACATGGTGTGCCCGGGTGGCTTACACAGCAGCACATGGTGTGCCCGGGTGGCTTACACAGCAGCACATGGTGTGCCCAGGTGGCTTACATAGCAGCACATGGTGTGCCCGGGTGGCTTACACAGCAGCACATGGTGTGCCCGGGTGGCTTACACAGCAGCACATGGTGTGCCTGGGTGGCTTACATAGCAGCACTTGGTGTGCCCGGGTGGGAGTCAAACTCAGACTGTATACAGAAAGCTAGACCATTGGGGTTCTACATCTTAAATTGTTGCATGGAGAAGATTGTCTTGATAACTTTGATTTATAAGTGAATCAGTCATCAATACATTAACTTACATTAACTGAGATATTCACTGATGATGCTGATGCTGATGCTGATGCTGACAATGACAATGCTGCTGCTGCTGCTGCTGATGATGATGATGATGATGATGATGACTGTGACAGCGATGATGATTATGATGCTGATGCTGATGCTGACGATGATGGTGAAGACAATGAAAATTATGTTGATGGCGAGATTTATATATCACTAATAGTGACAGACTAGGATAACATGCACTCAGACATCACCAGCCTGTCATGGCATGTCATTGTACCCTTAGGTAAGTCACTTCCAGTTTTACTTTACTTCACAACAATTTTGAATAAACAAGATGACTAGCAAACAAATGTAACCTGGGCAATACTGGTGATTGTCTTTTGATGTTGGAAACAATAAACAAGAATAACAAACTAATTTGATGCAGATTGTTTTTATTGTTGACAACTGTTTCTGGTCAGCGTGGCTGCTGTCTGGCAGGTCCTGGTGAGCCGTGCTCCAGCTCATTGATCAGGCTGTTTTGTAAACTTTGTAACCTTGAAGGGAATCGAGCTCAAGGCTTTGGCGTGACAAGCTTCTACCACTGCCTACCTAGCCGCCTCTTGCACAGATATAAATGTATGTCACTGTATAACACATATGCTTACTACCCGTGAACATCCGGGGTAGAATAGGTCTTCAGCAACCCATGCTTGTCTCCCCCCGTGAACATCCGGGGTAGAATAGGTCTTCAGCAACCCATGCTTGTCTCCCCCCGTGAACATCCGGGGTAGAAAAGGTCTTCAGCAACCCATGCTTGTCTCCCCCCGTGAACATCCGGGGTAGAATAGGTCTTCAGCAACCCATGCTTGTCTCCCCCCGTGAACATCCGGGGTAGAATAGGTCTTCAGCAACCCATGCTTGCTATAAAAGATGACTGTGCTTGTTGTAGAAGGCGACTAACGGGATCGGGTGGTTGATGCATGTCATCAATCCCAATTGCGTGGATCGATGCTCATGGTATTAATTACTGGATTGTCTGGTCCAGGTTTGATTATTTACAGACTGCTGTCATATAGCTGTAATATTACTGAGTGCGGCGTAAAACAACAAACAAACAACATATGCTTACTTCAATGATTTACATGCTGTCAATAAGTACATGTGATAACCTACAGTGTTGACATAAAGAGCACAAGGGCATATATCGATATAAAAGATATCTACACGATAAACCGCAAAGAACAACGGAGACCGAAGCATGGTTTATTTCACAATAAAACATTGTTCTATCATGACATCATTTCTGGAGATTTGAACATATCCTCGCAAATTGATGACATCATATTTTGGATGACATTTTTTTTTAGCGGGATGTGTCTAATAACTTGTTCACGCACCATTTTGGTTTCATGGCTGGGTTAGCCACAATTGTTGGTTTGCAGGAACCAGATTTAAACTGTTACCTGGCAACACCATTATGAATATTCCTATTGGAATTCCAGGTAAAACTAGGATCCCGGTACTTGCTGATAATGGGATCAGTGGGAGTGAGTGAGTGAGTTTGGTTTGACAACGCTTTGAACAGTAATCGAGTTATGTCATAATATGCATGTTTCTGACGTTTGTGACTTTGGTAAAACCAAGAGCATGGGCATGGTGCTGATGAACCTTGAGACATAATTGGGGCGAACCGAGATTCAAACCATGATTATAGATTTCTTGCATCCCCAAGGCTTGCAACTCTGCGGTGCCATACATGACTGGGCCACCAGTGCCCACAGTGAAACAGGATATTTACAGTCCAGTAGAACATGGATATAATGAACTCCAAGGGACCAGAGAAATCAGTCCGTTATATACATTGTTCGTTATATACGTTTTCGCTCAGAAACGTCTGCCATCTTGTGTAACATTTTTTTCATGCATCCTCCCACCAATAAATATAACAGGTCTCCATCACACACACGCACCCTCCCCTTCCATGAGTTCCTAAATAATTTTCAAATCTATAACTTTTTTATTTTAAAAAATAGAACTGTCTCCATTTTTCATGCACCCGCCTCCATGTAGTTGATATTTTTGGCGACCCATCTTTTGATGTGTCATATTTTTTCATGCCCCCCCTCCCCCCTCCCCACCCTTCACCAGTGCTGCTTAATCCCACTGCCCCTATAAGAAATGACCAGTCCCTTGCAAATGCTGAAACAAAAGTCTCACATTTAATGATATTTTACTTTAATTTTGAAATAGCTATGGTAATACAAAATCTTGACAAAACGCATACCAATTTGCCTTTCTGAACCCAACTGAAAAATCTGTTTTTCAGTAATATCGAATCTTCTAAAAAAGAAAGCCATCAATGACAGCACAAATCGAAAGTGAATAGTAAGACGGCTGATATTTTGTGCTATAATCATAAGGCTTTAGACACATAGGCTCCTTTCTGTCCATCTGAATACTGAACTTGAATAAGAACAGCCTCGGAACTTGAAATAATGCTTCATACTGTTGTCTCTGCTCTGTAATTTTATTACAAAGTCATGATCTTGCCAAAGCTTTTAGTTACATGATGAGAAGAGATCCATCTTCAGAACTAGCTGACTCGTTCCGGCAATCAAGTATTTATGCAGATCGGTGGCTGATGGGCTAAAAATTCTATAACAAATGAGATAAATTGTGATGGAAATAGAATAAAGACCAAATCATTCTATTATTCGAATAAACGGAATGCAAATAATCGAAATGGAAGTTCAACTTGACGTAATCTGTATGATAATTTTGGACATTTTGCTTTACGCGGATTTCCATAATAAACACACTTTCTTCCGTTACCTGCAATTTGGTGTAATTTCAGATCCATTTTTACTCCACTGAAGTCATTTACCGTAGGACTCGAACATGTATAGAATTAACATGGCGTTTGCAAAAGAGAGCCAGCCCTTTATAGTGGAGAGATGTGTTTATTTAGCGTTTACATTTCAATAAACAGATAAGATTTGAATTGATAAACGATGAAATGGATTTGTGTTTGTCTAGGTACCTCTCGTTTGTGTGTTTACATGAAGTTTTGATTACAGTAAATGCGTTGATTGTGTTATTCCAGCCCACGTGGACCATGAAATGATCTTTTTACCTGTGAGTGCGTCGAGATTGATTTTTGTTGCATATCGCTACAGGTGTGACAAGGCACTTTGCTAATATCTGCCGAGTAAAAATCACTTTACGATATCCACAGTCGTATTGATTGTCATTCACTCTATCTAACTCGTTTCACGTGTGTAAAACATGGAGCACTGGTGGATTAAATATTTAACCATACTCCCATCACATGACCCGATCATCTTTATTCTGCATCAAATAGATCAATATGTTACGACTGTCAGTTGTTCGAAGCCACATACAGTGAGTCCATTTGCGTGAAAGGGATTCGTCAGAATTCAGGAGCGTCGGCGAGATGAACCTCCCAAGGGGAGGGGAAGAGAACAGCGGAGATATTAACCCTGCCTTAAGCCACCAAGCCTGGCGATCAATACGTTATGTAGGGGCATTATCGTACAAGAGCAATTGTCAGAAGATACCAATCAATTATGCACCCTGAACCCGCCCACCCCGTAACGGAGAATGAACTGCTCCAATTATTATCCCTGATAGCCACATTTACTATGTATGATACACCTCAGATTGGGAGTTTCCACCAACCGGAGAAACATGATATGATTACAGCAGAGGAGTCCTATGCATCTCAGCCTTCTAGTAGCTGTCCGTATAGAGTGTAGTTTATCACTGGAACCAGTGTCCTTTATCCCATGTAGTGTCTGTGCAGTGCCAAGAAGACCTGTTCATTATGAGTGCTTTCAGGATCTTTCACTTTATGCATTGTTTTCTTCTTTTATCAATTTTCAATTTGGAAATACATGGGCAGAGTGTTCAGCGAGAACTCAACATCAACCTTGACACGTAAGTACAATTTTGCCAGTCACCATTTATTTATTTTCGTATTAATATTTCAAATATACGTACCTAACATTTTCAGCACTGTGTTGAGACAGGATTCTACAGACTTGCGAGTAACTTGATCGTAACGTTTTCTTACCTTCTACTGTCAGAGAATCTCAATGGAATCGATAGGCGACAATGTTTAAATCAATATTTATTCACTTGGTGAATTGTCGATGTGTGAGTTTGGTACTCTTTGGCAGTGCCAAGCTAGCTACAGTCACTGAAGGAACTCCAAGCCTCTTGGTAACAGACATGTATATCCTGTAGGTTTGACAATATCCAATAGTGGACTGCGTCTCAACAGATTTCTCCCATGTAACGTGTTGCTCATAAGATCCTCAGCTAGTTGAGACCAGTAAAGTATTCTATATTTAAAGCCCACAGATGCAGGCCTAGCATGTGTGGCTTGTTGGCTGTTAGAGTATGACAGCGGTATGATTGTGATCAAGCGTATGTCTGTTTCTGATGCTTTATTGCAATTTCTGTCTTGAACCCTGAGCCCATGTGAAACTCATGATGGTATCTAACAAATACCTTCTTTATTCCAATCACCACTGTATGACCATGTCAGACATGTTTTTATAATAGTTTCATCATTTCTAATCAATGGTTAGTCATAAAACAAGTAATAAAACAATGAAATTTTGTGAGAAATATATTTTGATAATGAAATTAAAAAAATTATTTAAAAAAGAAAACACGGAATTTCTGTCTGTTGGATATATGTTTTTTCGGTACCAGTGTAAGGCCCAGCCATGTTGTGTCTATTGCCTCCAGATGACTGTCAAGCTTGTACATATCTCCTGTAGCTTTGTGTTGTATATTTCACTATCAGCTGGGGGGCTCTGCCATGGATCATTGTCAGTGTCGCTGATTTCAGTGAAATTGACGTGTTACTGTAACAGCTGAAACAGTAATTTAGCATACAAACACGCTCTAGTTGGTAGAGTCATCTTCTGTTTTCATACTGTTAAAAATGTGATCTTTATGCATTGTGTTATATGACGTGATAGAATTGTTAAAACTTTCCATGAGTTTAAATTATCCTCCTCTGTAAAGGTAATTACATTTTGAACATATTCAGATTGAAAAAGGTACCAATGCAAGCCGTCTATAAGAGCGTTCTTTATACTCCTTGAATCCTGACTGCACCATGACGTGATCTCAGTAACTTCATGTATATTGACAATGTAGGAATGATGTCTTTTCAAGCACAGCTTCCATGACTGCAGAAGTTCTGCTTTGTAACCATTAGTTAATATCTGTCACGATGGATATGCAACATTATTAGTCTATTGTACATTTAAAAAATAAGCGATGAGTGGGAGTTGTTTTTCATACAATAAAACACTGCAGGGAGAATAAACCATAAGGACGCAGCATGGAGTGGTTTATTCTAACTGCGGTGTTTTATTGTAACATAAACATCAACCACGAGTTGTTTATTTCTTATGTGAGATATCAACATTATGTACAGCCTCTTCAAGAATGTTACTAAAATGTACAAGCTTTAAAAATATTTACCTGTATTTTAATAATGATGACTCCCTCAAGAGAATCTGACCTCGTCAATGTCGGACAAGTATATTTTATACACAGGAGGGTATTTCCCGCAAATTCTTACAATCCTCACATTGATTACCTGTACCTTTCTCCCAATACCGATTGTCATATCTCTCCCGTTTTTGGATACGATCTTTCGGCCATCGCATTAATCTACCTTGCCCATCTTCATCTATGGGGAACAACTCACTCCTCTCTGAAAAATAACTTTGTCCAATATACAATGTCATTAAGTTGCAAGCGCATATTCAAATCTCCAGAAATGATATCATGATTAAACAATGTTTTATCATGAAATAAACCACAATTTGTTCTTCATTGTTCTTTGTGATTTATTGTGTAGCTAACTCATATTTGATATTAGTGTCAGTGGAGATGCCTATTGTATAAACATCATCATTAGTGTCAGGAGAGGTGCCTATTATATATGTGCTATTAGTGTTCGTAGAAGTGCGCGTTATGAAAACAATGTTATTAGTGTCTGTAGAACTGTGCATTATGAAAACAATGTTATTAGTGTCTGTAGAGGTGTCCATTATGAATACAATGTTATTAGTGTCAGTAGATACATGTGTGCATTATGAATAAAATGTTCTATGTATGCAAGGTTATTTGTGTCAGTAGAGGTGTCTAAGATATGTATATATACAGTTATTTGTGTCAGTAGAGGTGTCTAAGATATGTATATATACAGTTATTTGTGTCGGTAGAGGTGTCTAAGTTATGTATATATACAGTTATTTGTGTCGGTAGAGGTGTCTAAGATATGTATATATACAGTTATTTGTGTCGGTAGAGGTGTCTAAGTTATGTATATATACAGTTATTTGTGTCGGTAGAGGTCTCTTACATATGTACATATACAGTTATTTGTGTCGGTAGAGGTGTCTAACATATGTACATATACAGTTATTTGTGTCAGTAGAGGTGTCTAATATATGTGTATATGCAGTTATTTGTGTCAGTAGAGGTCTCTAATATATGTGTATATACAGTTATTTGTGTTGGTAGAGGTCTCTTATATATGTATATATACAGTTATTTGTGTCAGTAGAGGTGTCTTACTAACATGTGTTTATACAGTTATTTGTGTCGGTAGAGGTCTCTAACATGTATATATACAGTTATTTGTGTCAGTAGAGGTGTCTAATATATGTACATATACAATGTTATTTGTGTCAGTGGAGGTGTCCATTATATAAGCAATGTTATTTGTATCAGTTAATGTGAGTTTTATGTACATTGCTATACAATTACAGTTATAAACGAATAAAGGTCTAAGTTGTTTTCTTTGGTTTTCTGAGTAATGTTACCATGGAAATGATTTCAGCTGCAATTTGTTAAGAGAATGATAAGTAAAGTCAGCCTAATGGCAATACACCTGTCTTAAACAGTAAAACATCATACATACATGCAATGCTCCTAGTTTTCATCGACACAATAATACAATTTGAAAATAATTCTATTTCATATAGAAAGAACTGTGAGCGATGCTTATCTATTTTAGTGCTGTATACATGTCTAAACTTGCTAAAGAAGTTGCAAAATTGTGTGTTTAAAAAGGTAAAAATATGTGTAAAAAAATATGGTTGAAGATTTTAAGCATCTAATCCATACGCTTTAACATGATTACCTTACCATTAGGAGTTTGAAATAGCGCAAGACAAGTTTCTGTGTTAATGGGTGAAACATCTAAACAAGCAGCGCACCTAAACAAGCAGAAATTCACATGATATCAGATATCTTAAACCTTTTAGAAAATTACACTGAGTTAGCACCCGCATCCTCATCTGTTGTTTATGGATTGGTAGTGCCTTTAGCTGACTAGTCGCATCCCAATGGAGTCCCAAGGATGAAACATCTTGGTACTTTTAGATTTGATGGCTTAGGAAATGGCATTTGCTTAATGCTTGAGTTTGAATTAAGATTTAATGGTTCAGTTCAAAGTATCTTCCTAGCCGTGTCATGGAAATAGGCTTGGGTGTAGTGAAAGAAATCAAATTTCATGTCCATTTGCCCTGGAATTACGCTTTTCATCACGGGCATGTCAAATGAGGCGTTTGTAGCTGTTGATCCTTGGATGGAGTTCCAGCCTCCTTAAGGGTTAAAGTGAAGAAACTGACGCTCAGTAGAAAAACCTTGCTTTTCATTAGAACTATCCTTTTTAACTGTTGAACTGTATTGATTATTAACTGTTATGGTACGTTTATTATGTCATAGTTGTTGGAACAAGACAGTGTTAATGTTCTGGGTGAATAATGAATTACTGTTTCCAGCTTATTAAGTGAGTGAGTATGGTTTTATGCCGCTTGTAATATTCCAGCAATATCATGGCGGAGGACACCAGAAATGGGCTTCACACGTTGTACCCATGTCAAGCTTATTAAGGATATTTTCTGAAAGCACAAAATGCATTATGAACTGACCACAAACTGACCATAAACTGACCATTGTATTGACCAGCATGGAAGTAGAATTCCCCTTAGGGGGTTTGTCAGATGAGCTCCCCCGTGCCTAATATTGTTCCAAGAGAGGACTAACAGGAGCATTGGGTGATGGCCATGATTGATATTGTTAATTGTGTCACATTGTATCCTAACTGCATGGGTAATTGCTTGTGCATTCACTGAACTGCTGACAGTCTGCTGTGATATTACTCACAGTGGCATAAAACAACATTCAATCACTCACTGTACACAAGACACAGTTCACTATGAATGGCCACTAAGTTTCCTTTTGAAAAAATACTGAGCTGAAAGGATGGGAGTGGTTTTACCAGCATTTAATAAGTATCTATGTAAAGATTAAAAAAATGTTTCTTGGGCATATTTTTTTCAAAAGTGAGGGGTCGGTTATATTTATTATATACTTCAGTGTGAAAGACTGAGTTTTCTGAAGTTGAGAAGAGTGATATTTTCATTGCAGTGAACATAACACTTGATATTTCACTGCAGTGAACATAACACTTTTGTTTATATTTTTTAAGATTTAGCAAAGACGGAACTACATTTTTAGTCGTACTTACAGGGGGTGGAAAACCGTCCATGTGTGTTATGTAGGGATAATTTAGGCTTGAAGGTTTTACATTTTTAATGAAATAATTTAATCTTCCTGCAGACAACTACACCAAAAGTAAATAATAAATAGGATATTTCATCTCGTGAAGGGGGGAAAGGAGATATTTTCACTCGACACATGAAATATCCTCTATTTATTTATCTTTCTTATTCAAAATGAAAGTGGTCCAAGAGGAACACTTTTTATTTTTTTCAACCAAGAATAGGACCACAAGCCACGGGGCACATATTGAATGTGGCCATTACATGGGTACAATGTGTGAAGCCCATTTCTGTTGTCCCACCGTGATATTGCTGGAATATTGCTCAAAGCAGCAT